TTAGGCCTATTATAAAAATTTTCAAAACACCAATTGTGTTTCTATCTACGGAATGTGCTCTCGTTCGTAAGAGTTTTCTATACTTGTCACCCAAGGGCTGTTCTCTTACCAAATTCTCCTGTTCAATTCACAAGGAAAAGTATGACAGTCAGCGTTGAGAGTTTGCTAATCACGTCATAAGAGTTTGAGGGTCAAGGTAATAATTTTATTGAGAACCGGGGATTCCATTCTTTGTGCCATTGTCTCTTCTGATTTTGTTAAAGAATATTCGGCAAGAGTACCATATAACCCCATACATTAATTATGCATTCAGACTAGTAGACTTTGTTGTTAAAGTTTTGTCGTGAATGACAACGAAGTGGAATGCATAATTAATGTATGGGGTTATATGGTACTCTTTCCGAATGTTCTTATGCAAATCTACGATGTCGTGTGTGTAAAATTGATTACAATCAATAAATTTCTTCCGAAGAAGTACTTTGTGAAAAGTGTTGGTAGCCACGATGTTTTCAAATCGTTAAGCTGTGAAACTGGATTACTAAGCTGATTGGAAGACTTAAAAAAAAAACATAAATCATCATCGGTTGGACGCACCAATCATGATTTATTGTATTTAATTGCGATCAGATTCCTTGGAGGGAACAAACTACCCATTAGGGGCCGACCATTTAACTTTTTTTGGGGGGGGGTGGGTGATTTCTGGTCATCAGGAGATTTTTTTTCTACAAATCTGCAGTGCAGGATATTTTTTCCGTTCTCAATGCCCTTTTTTTTTTCTGTTACATTTGGGCTGCATGCAATTTTTTTCTTCCAACAAACGCTTGCAGGAAATTTTTTTTCAAAATCACTCACCCCCCTTCAAGAGTTAAATGGTCGGCCCCAATCGTCATTTCTCTAGTGCAACCGCCTCCGCTTCGAGCTCAGCAATACGCGTCGCTTCCTTTGCTCGTGCGAACACTAAGGATGACGTACGACTCCTGTTTGAACCGCTATGACTCGAACGTCGTGATTTCTTTGACGAGGACTTAGTTGTGGCCCGAGAACCGATCTGACTCGCTGAATCTTCAGGATTGATCTGAGAGTTCAACCGGAGAAGCTCCTCTGATCCTTTGATCCACTGTTGAGTTCTTTGATAAATGAGGTCGGCCCGCGAAGACTCTGATTTTAACTGCGCTTGACATCTTGCTAGGCTAGCTTCATCCTGAAGATTCGACGAATAGGCAAGATGAGCTTCTTTAAACCTTTTAACAGCAGCTAGGAAGCCGGGCAACTTTTCCTTTACGAGATGAACGTTTTCCTCGCTAGATAACAGCGCATCAATTTCGTTTCTCCTAGCACTAACTGTAGAAAGATAGCCTGATCTCTCATTCTTGAGTTTCGAGGAGAACGCCTTTTCGATCCAGTTGTTTACTCGGTGTCCTAGGTCGAACGCCATCCCCATCACCAGAATCTAAAGCTTTGTCAGCGCCAATAGCCGTTATCTCCTCATAGCGACTCGACAATTTCAAACTATGTTACTGCCAAAAGGCGGGTCTTTTCGTGGCCGCTTACAGCAGTGATTACAAACGCTCGATCGGAGGGAGAGGTTTGAACTAATGAAGAACCAACAAAAAATACAAGCTTACAAAATGCAGAAATATAAACTGAAAGGCGGCTAAAGCGAACGCGATGAACATAATAACTAGGAACTTACATTGTATCGGCGCTGTAGGCCGCGAAAAGGCAACTCTAAACCGGATGTTCTCTTAAGACAAGATGTTCTCTCGTTGAAATCAACGATGAAACTAAAAAGCTAGAATATTAACAACATGTAAATTATACCGAACGCGGNGTTGGCAACCATTCATGTTTTCTTTTCCGGGCATTCCTTCAACATATGATTGGAGGAACAACAACCAAAACAAAGGCGCTTTAATTTCAAGAACCGAATCCGTTCTGGATACGGGAGGCGTCTAAGGGCCTCGCAGGCGTCTAGGGCGTGCCCAGAATTGCGGAAGGAACATAAGACGTCCTCAGTGGTAGGAGTTGATCCAGAGGGTGGCGCACGAGGAGGTGGGCTCTGGAGATCGCCTACTTGCGTAGCGAGACTTGTTTTACCGCTACCAGACCTATTCTGCTTATCCTTCCGTTCATTCTTGGGCTTTGTGTCTTCAGTAATCTTTCCGAATACGGGATTGGCGATTACCCTTGCTTCATTGTCTACGAATTCGGCAAGGTCGCTGAACGTAACAGATCTTCTCTCAGTTTCTGTTACTTTATCGGCTAAACGGCGCCACGTTGTTCGTAAATTGAATGGCAACTTCAGGACCAGCTTTTGTATGGTGTCAGGCTGCTCGAGCTTGGTCCGGTGTTTGCTGCATTTCATAGCGTTTTTGCATCTCATGAGAAAGATGGAGAACTTGTCCAGAGAGGCACTGTCCTCAGCTCTCACTTCAGGCCAGTTTAACGCCTTGGTTTCATAGGCAGTCACAATGCGATAATCGTCACCAAATTTCTTTTCTATCAGCCATCGGGCTTCCTGATAACCCTCTCAGGTGGAAGGTGATGCCGCGATCGAACTAGTTCTTTAACATCACCACTAGTAAACTGTACAAGGTAATACAACCTCTCAGTACCACTCGAGGTTCTAGACTCAATGAGGTTTTCAAAGGCTTTCACAAAGGCGCCATAGTCCATTGGATCACCATCGAAGATAGGAACCCTTTGCTGGGGAAGACTGCTTTTCTTCTGCTGAGTCGCAAGCATTTCCATGATTTTGTTCTGCTGTTGTTGCAGCGCATTTTGACGGTGATGCAGCCCTAGCATTTCGTGAAAGGCCCTCTCACTTGGCGATGTCGACGCTCCAGAGTCTTCAGACTCGTTAACGCGTTCATTCCTGTTCATTCCTAGCGAAGGCTGATGCCATTCTGCTGCTTCGGGATTTAGGGTAGAACAACCAACGACGACTGATAAATGACCATTTGCTCCAACTGGCTTTGTTTCTAGTCCGATAATAGGTGCTTGAACCTTTCCCTCACCCTTCTTGGATTCCAGGTTTACCGGACTCGGCACAAATGGACGCGGAGCAGCTTCCATAACTGAAGATAAGACTCTTTCTTTAGCTTTAGACTTAGCGAGTTCGGTTTCAAGTGTAAGACGTTCCTGTTCTTGCTGTAAACGTAATTTAATTAATTTAATTTATTAATTTTTAATTTAATTTTAATTTAATTTATTAGCTTCGCCGACAGGTAGGGACCCCGCAACAGCTTGCGCCAATTACTGC